ACATTAAATGTCGTTAGCGAGCCATAGCATCTCGTAATATATTGCTGAAGATTTACTTTCTCCTCATCACTTAGCTTTTTATTACTGTTGATATTCTGCTCCAGTACCCGCAGCCGGTCGCGCAGCATAACGATCTTATGAAAAAAGTCGTCGATCGGAATTTCCTTCGGTTTTAATGATTTGTCGAATGGCTGCAACAACATCATCCCCTTTGCCCATTTCTCACCCAACGGTACTATCTCCATCGGCCCGCCCCACAAGCGCAGGATCTTTAGCAACGAGCGCTCCACCTCACTATGCGTTTCAATTTCTTCCGTAATATTTTCGGGTATGATCTCTTCCAGTTTATCATCTGTCTTTTCAATTTCTTTTATTCCATGATTGATAAACGAGATAAGGTAAGTGGCAAAACGCACACCCACGATCACACCCGGTCCATACTGCGTATGCTGTAATCTTGTACCAATACCCAATACAGTTTGTTCCATATTCTCAATTTTGAGTTCTAAGATATTTAAAACATGCTTATGGTAACACGCAAAAAAAAGGGTGACTATAAAAGCCACCCTTACTATTTTTTAAAAAATTAGTTATTGAACAACCAGCTTATTCGTAATCACACCATTCTCTGTTTGTAATCTCACAAAATATACCTGGCGGCCAAGACCGTCTGTAGACAACGGTACGAGGTGACTACCTACTTCACCTTTCTTGTTAGCCAGTACTTTCACTTCCCTGCCAGCCATATCCACAATACTTAACCGTACTTTCTGCGCAACAGGCAGATCGTAACGAATAGTACCTGATCCAGTCATTGGGTTAGCAAAATAAAGTGATACTTTACCCTTTCCACCTACTGTTGCTGTAACGACATTCGTTGTTTTTGATTTACCATCGAAATCAACTTGTTTCAAACGGTAATAGTACATGCCTGGAGCCAGGTTTTTATCAACGTAACTGTAATTCAAAGCAGTCGTGCTTTCGCCGGCACCTGCCACAAACGTAACAGGATACCAGTCTGCGCCATTATTGCTGCGTTGCAATTCAAAGCCTTTATTGTTTGTTTCCGTACGTGTGCTCCATACAACAGATACATCCTTGCTCACTGTTGATGCCCGGAGGTCAGTAATAGTAACTGGCAGCGGGAAGGTTGGAGTGAACCTTACATCGATAAAGAAGTTAGTTGAGAAATATCCGCTTCCGTTCGGCAAATTTGGAAAAGCAGAAGTCGCGGTATAAATATATGATCCATTACCTATCGCTGAAGGATCTGTACTTCCATCTCCCGCCAGGATAATAAATGGAGGGTCATTTTCATCAATACTCGGATTGATGGTATTCTCGGCATTATAGGTACCGGTCGGGCTAAATACTGAAGCTACATATACAACGCCCGGTGTTACGGTTAACGGCGTACCGAAAGCCATTTCCTGCCAGCCATTGGCGGTTTCACCTGTGAAAGTAACGGTACGGGTTGGCGTAACGGTGCTCACACTTGGCGTCCACAAATTACCGATATGTGTACCTGTGTTCGCTGTGCCTTTGTAAAAGCGGATAGCGGAAATGGTTCCGAGTTGTGTGACCTGAAAACGGATTCCCGTTTCGATTCCCTGTATTGGGGTAAAAGTGGGGAAGTCATTGTTATTAGCATTACCTCCGGGTGCGCCTGCAGGAGCTGTAGTGCCAAACATAGTATAGCTCTGCGCTTTTGCCACAGACCCAACTAAAACCATCGAAATAACAAGGAGAGAAAAAAACTTTTTTGAAGAAAGGACAAAGGTGTAAATGTTCCTTTTCATAAAAACGGGATTTTGGTGAGAAAAATTTGTTTGCTTTCACCGGATACCAGATCGAAACGTTTTTGAAAGGAATTGGATAGGCTGCG